TTTGGCATTGATACACGAGGGATCTTTTACGTTGACAAGGATATTCTGTGTGGAGTAAAACACTTTTCTATTAATTGTCGTCGGCTTTACATGGGCAAACAATTCTCGAACTTGCTTTTTTAATTCGCAACATTTGTCTTTAGGCTCTTCATCCTTTGCTTGCAACGACTGCTACTTTTCTTCGTGGTAACCATTGGCGTCTTCCATTGTTTTTAGAGCAACTTCTAACTCCCAATCTTCTTGCAAGAAATTCCGCCACGTCAAAATTTTTTTCATATAATTCTTCGATTACCCAACATTTCGTTGTTCCTCCTCCAATGCCGATTGCAGCTTCCAAATTTGTTCTTGAGCTGGCCTAACCCCTCCTGCCATTTTTTATTTCTTCTCCAATAACTTCATCCACCGATCACGAACCACTGGATCATCGTCATTCATTTCATCGTGTGCGCCCCTCACTAGATCTCATATATAGTTATATGCGCTCTATATTTCCTGCATATTCACAGTCGTATTTAGACTATTGAAAATCTCTACGAATATGTCGATATTAGCTAGTAGAGTTTTTATGTTTTCGGTCTGTGCCGCTTCTGTACTCCGAACTGAAGCCCCCTCGACAAATTTGCTCTGCGTCACTGCGTCTATCCTTGCCAAAGCCTCTTTCTTACTCGGCATTATATTTTTCTTTCAAATCTTTTTTCTCTTTGAATTTTCCACCAAGCTGACAGAATTTCTTCGATTATTAAGGCAACGATTTTTTTTTTTTAAATTCGCCTAAAATATTCAATATATTTTAAAAATTTTAACCTCATTTTTAATCGATAAGGCTATATGTAGATGTTAGGGGTTTCTGAGCATAAAACATCACTTGTCTGAATTATATAAAGGTCTCGCTCTGTGTTTGGTATGCTCAAGGTGTGTCTTTTTAACCTGAGTAATATTGGTATTTGGGTTTTTGAAAGGAAATATAAAATCCTCCTAACGCAGGTCGCTCCCCGCTCGTATTCATCGATCGTGACATCAGAATAAATGCCGAATATTATCGCGAAAATAGCCTTGGGCACGCAAACATTTTGGGCGCAGACCTTGAACATTCCAACAGGACTCGGCACCATCGCAACTAGCACGAGCCACCCAAAAATGGTTACAAAATCAGGTTCCTCGCTTCATTTCCAGCACACAATGGCCACCAAAATCTCCGGATGTCAATCCGCTGGACTATTGTGTCTGGAGTATTTTGCAAAGCAAGGTTGGTACTAAAAAATACCAAAGTATCGATCACCTCCGGTAAGCGCTTCGCCGGGAATGGTCTGAAATACCGCAGAGCAACAAGGAGGCAGCGTGTGACGGTTTCATTGGTCGTTTGAAGGCCATAATTCGTGCCAAAGATGACCAATTCGAATAAATCTAAACTTATTCTAAAATATTTGATATTTCCGACATTTTTTGCTTTCATTGAATAAAATTTACAATAATTTAAAAATTATGGCGTTTGACTTTGTTGCAGTTTTTTATCTCACCCTGTACATTGAACGTGTAAATAGATTTGGGTTAGGACACATTTATGGTATTTATTTATGATCATCCAAAAATACACAAGAATTATATTAAAATAATTCCCAATTAACCTCCATTTCGTTTCCTGAAATCGAATTGTGCTATGCAAAATTTAATATTTTCATTTTTTCAACCATAAAAATGTTATGAGTAAATATCATTTAAAGGATTTCATAACTCCTTCAAGATATTGAAGGAATCCTCCAAATGTTTGTATCAACTCCTTGCTGCCATACCTTTTTTAAAGAATCACAAAAGTAATTGAATAAATTCATCGAAAAAAAAAAACAAAAATACATTAGTGGCATGTGTGTGTGTCTGTACGATTGAGAGATATGAAAAAGGAAGGGGGTTTTGGGTTTATGTACATGTAACCAAATTCCGACACTACCGAAAAAAGTACACCCCGAATTCAATAAAAACCTGTAAAATCACGTACATAATTTGTTTATGCTGGCAAAAATGGCAAGAGGCAAAAGTCTGTCAATAAAAAAAGTGGGCAATCAAAATCCCCCAATGGCATTCGGCGATATGAAGATATGCTGTGGCAATGGATGGGGCTGGGGCTGGTGGGACACAAAAAATGGAAACGATCCCAAATTCAATATTGTAAATGAAAGCTCAAAAAACAAAACCCCATAGCCGTAGCGCCGTAGTTATAGTGCTGGCAATAACAGCAAACACATAAATATTACCTACTGCCTTTTTTTGTATTAAGATCACCACTCCACTCCTGATTTGCTGGTATATGGAGGTATATGGGAATCGAAGGAATCGTCTCAGGAATGTAAATAAAAAACAACAACAGCAAGGGCAAAAAAACAGTAATATTGTGAAAATTACATTTGTTGTACAATTTTCTTTTTTCACTCCTTTCTTCTGCGGGCGCAAGTCCTCCTTCATTCTTCCATTTTCACCTCATTCCAAGAGTGTCAAAGCCACTTTGAAAATCAAAGAATGCAAAGCAATTGAGAAAATTGAAGGAGAAGAAAAAAACTGAAAATCTGGCTAATGGAAAAAGTAGCGGCAAAACCCTTAGAATAAAATGTTACCCATCATCAGTTCTCGGTTCCTGACCCCCCATAATAAAATCAATTTACTTCGAGAAAAAAACGAATAAAGTAATAAAAATAAAATTGCCTGTGCATGCAAAGAAAAGTTGTTTTAGAACAACAGCCAGATAAAATTTGAACATAAACCGTTGTTATCGATGTAGATTTCACCACACACATAACATATCCACATGTTGTTGTCCAAGGATTAGGGACAGGAGATTTCAAGAAAGGAAAACAATGGTTAAAATTATGTTATTGCCGTTGTTTCGACATTTATTTGAATATTGCTAATGAAGGTTGTTGGTTGGATGTTGTAGTTTATGTCCTGAAGAAATTCAATTTGTAGCTAACACATTCGCAAGAGGGAGGATTAGGGGATTGAATTGAACAACTGATTGAAATCCTCGGACTGACACATTGATACTTTCCTTGCCAATCTGCCTGATCTGACAGAACGGTTGTTCCATAAGCCGAGCTTAAAAAAGATGTCCAAGCACGTCGGTTTTGTGCCTCCGATTTGAAAGACCATTTTCCGAAATGTGGGGAATCCCTTCAGAGTGAACCATCACTTGGTTCGCTTTTATATGCCTTTTGAGCTGTGGGATCTTCATCCATTCTCACAACATGGGCTAGCCAACGTAGTCGCTGCAGCGCGATACGACTGACCGTTGACGGAGATCGGCCCATAGATCTTCCGGAGATTTTTTTCTCTCAAACACTCCAAAAGCTACCTCATCTGCCTGCGCAAGTAACCATGCTTCAGCTTCATCAGCATCTTATGTGAATTTGGTCGGGCGAGAGGTGGCCTTATTCCTAAATTGCTTTCTCAGACCATAGTAGCATCTGTTGACCAACACTATCCTACTCCGAATTTCAGACCTGATATCAGTAGTTTTATTAATGGCGGTACCGAGGTATAAAAAATCGTTGACTACCTCAAAGCTGAGGTTGTTCTTCTCGACATTTACTCTCATTCCCACTTTGGGAGACTCCATCTCATTTGTTTCAAAATTGGCTGTTACCGCTCACAATGTTTGACCCCTTGGCTTCAGTCGTTCACACAGCACACTGGATAGCATTTTATATGCGATGGGAAGACGACTAATTCCTCTTTAATTGTCACATATCTTCCTGTCGCCATGTTTGTGCACGGAAACACAGGATGCTGAGATTCTAATCATTGTTGAGGTTCCAAATTGTACTAATCTGTTGGTGCATGCTCCTGATCAGCGTCTGACCACCGGCCCTAGTTTAGTTGGTAATCCGTCGTGTCCTGCTGCTTTATTATTCATTATCCGATTAATTACTACTCTGACCTCATATAGGTTAGGTGGTATACAATCTATACCGTCATCTCTTATTGGTTCTGGGGTATTTTCTTCACCCTTACTATTTGATACCTAAAGCTTTGCAAAATGCTACTTCCAGATCCTAAACACGCTGTCTGTATATGTCAACAGGAGGATGTGCCTGCACCAAAGCCTTCGGTTTGATATTTTACTTGTTGGTAGCATTTCCGAACTTCATTCTGACTCCTGACTATGACTCTTTGCTCACGTTTTTCTTGTTCTTTCTTTATTCTTTCCTCCTCTATCCTTTTCTCCCGATAATTTTCTAACGTATTGGGTGTTGCTACTGTTTGCAGGGTAGCAAAAAATAAACCAATATTGAAAAAAATCTGCCAGGAAGTATTTCTCGGGAACTCCAAAATATAACCTCTCTAAAACCTTCAAAATACCGACAATAGGAAAGTAGCTTCATATAAGGCCTATACCAAAACATGGACTGATATATCAAAATTTAAAATAATTAGAGGGACATTACTGTACTGACTACGAAGAAGTTCACGTTTAGAAGGTAATAACTTTCTGGAACTAAGGAATGAAATTTGGTCTTCCGTCATAGAATGCATTGACAGGGATAAAGATATGATTGCATAGACTAGTCATTGTGGAGAATTTTGAGTTTCGCCATACGATCCCTATATGTCCAAGAGTGTGAGACCTAACTCATGAAGACAACCGCGAATACAAAAGAAAAATGGGGCTCGGTCCACTGAAACTATACCAAATTTATTGCAAAAAAATGTAATTGTAGGCAACGTTTAAACCAATGTCGGAATGTTAATAAGCGGCTGTCATATTTGGGGGGACCCCCTCTATTCTCTATTTTTAAATTTGAACGATTTTCAAGCGACTGACAGCTGAACGTGCCATATATTGAAGATTTGTAACTTTGCATATAAGAAAGGAAATTCTCCCATTTATACAAATTGGCTTGTACTTTTTTCTCAATTTTTATCTCTTTTTGTTTAATCGATTCCCTTTAAACTCAACGTTGTATGAATGTAAATTCAAGAAATAATTAAATTATTAAAAATATTTTACTCACCATCTGTTTCCATACACGGCTCACCGGTTGCTGAACATATCGATAGTACATAGCTCTGATTATCTTGTTCCAGTGTAAACTTTGAGTTACGCAATGGACTCATATCGATGCTACAAAAAGAAAAAATAATGAATAAAGGAAAATTAAATAACGGAAGTTAAAATGTAAACGAATAATAAATAAAGGAACAACACAATTAAAAATGAAAAGTAATTGTGTAATATAAAATTTTATAAAACTCTTCGATCATTCAGTGTGTATAATATTAATGGTGAAATTGAATATTAAAATGTTTCAAAATACAAGATCGGCCAAATGCTGAACCAAGACATAGTTACGATTGCATTATGAATTATCTTTTAAGAATTGGAAATACCAAGAGCATTTCTGATAATATTATTGAGGTGTAGACTTACATTTCATTATCATGGGCAACAACGGTACATGATGGTAATTCCTGGCAGGCCAATGGTGTTGCAAACGTAAATGTATAAACACAATCTTTGAAACCCATTAGTACTGGATGTGCATTCTGAAATTACAAATTAATAAAAATTAGATTATTTTATTATAAACAAAAATATATAAATGAACAGAATTCAACAAAAAAATAAATATATTTAAAATTTATTTAAATTTGTAATGTGCTTAATAGTAATGTCCAAATATTAACAAATGATTGTAATCTATTCAGATCGCATATATAATTAAGTCTGGTTCCATCTTTTTCTATCGACAGAATATTGTACACATGATAATCTCTTGTATGTACTCAAGTCGGCCCCGTCCGATTTTTGTATTTTGTTTACTGATTTTCTATTAATTTTAGCCATAAAGCAAACACTATAAAGGTGGGTTACGACTGAATCTGACATCGCGGATCGTGCATACCACTGACCTAGCGTAGACCCCACAATGTATTTTACACATTTGTATAATGTTGCGGAAGCAATTGTGGAGTAAATGCTGTAAAAATTCAAAGTCCATAATAAATTATGGCATTTCTCCTCGCATTCCAATTACATCAACCAGAAGGTAAAAGCCAGGAAAAAAGTTGTGAAAGCTTTGTCTGGCACCTTCTGGGATAAGGATAATGAAACGTTATTATGCTGCCCCAGTCTGGACTTCTTTCCTTAGTCACACACAATGGAGACAACTCAAAAGAATGCACTCAGAATTACAACCGGATGTGTCCAGATGACGAGCGTCGATCACCATCATGAGGAGACCAGGATGCTGTCAGTCAAGCAACATAATGTATTGTTTACTAGACAGTTTCTGCTGGCATGCTATCTGCCGAGTCATCCCAACCATCACACAGTGATGACAGAACCACCTCCGCGACACATCGGCCAGGACTTCAGGCGCTATCGTGATGACATCCAAGACGTCATTCCATCGAACGTCAACAGATTGTCGATACCGAACGCGATGAAATCCGTGCATCAACTGGCGGTCTCCGAAGCCATAAATGTCTACAGATGCAATAAAGTCCTACAACAACATCCTCCTGGGATACAGCAATGTTCTCAACTCGTATCGAGAGCGGAAACCTAAACAGGCGCCCCTCCTGCCAACAAAGCCTCACGACACACACCATCTATTCAAGTGTCCGTCCGAGAATACAAGTCTGTTGCCTAAAGACTAATGACTAAATCCAATAGAGATGGCACAATTTCTCCACCTACCCTCTTCAAATCTCATTTCATAATAATTAATTAATGTATATTCCTTCTTCCGATTTCTATCAATATTTTCAGAAAAGAACTTTCATCAACAGCCAACCTGTTACAACAAAAACAACCAAAAGCCATGACGCCAGCTAAGGAAATTGGTAGCTCTATATTTTGCGCAGAGAAAGTTGGCGTTTTTTTAAGCCAAATATTGGCTGTTTCAACAACAATCAATTGTCGTTTCCACAACAGATCGGTCCCTTATTACCCCTAATTATATATGGATTATATTTCCATATCAGATTATATATTTCATATATCAAACTGATGATCTTGCTAGTGGTGTCTGACAGTCAACTTTTTTTGTGTCTATTGACACAACACTTTGTTTGATGGCTTGTGCAGCATCTTCCTTCGTAAATTAGGTCTCGATCACTACGTCTTGGACCATTCTATATTCATTCCTTCAAAGGGTCGAGAGTGATTTAAACATTGGCAACAATTTTCAATGTTGTAACCAGGTTGGTTGCGTTGTTTCAAATGTTCTGATCACTTTATCCGAAACTCTGTGAAACTCTTATTGCAGAAATCTGTGAAATCTTGTCAATCGTTTAAAAGAAATTAAGTCAGGTGACCCTTAAAGGAAGGCCCAAAGTTACCCAAAGGGTATTTTTCTAGCTGACGATCTTGCTATTTTACTTCTCAGTCGGACCAATTGTTTTCAATTGGAGTGGCTGCGAATGTTAACACTCTTAGTTGACAAACATTAGACATTAGATCTTATTTTAACCGATTTGTTTTTAAATTTATGTTTCACTTCCTTGCTTGTTATACACACCTTAACATCCTTATCGCAGTAGAAATTTAAAACAGATGAATAATTTGTGGCACCATTGCATGGTGTTGGCGATGTGTGACGAATTACAAGATTATTATTTTCAATTGTTGGTCTGGGTTGGGCTGTACCATAGTTGAAGAATCTAAAAATATAAAACGATAAATATTATTCAAAATTCCATTTAAAAAATTAAACACATTTCCATACTTCTCTTTATAATTGGCATGGGGTTTTTGAAAGCACACACTACTCTCGGCCGGACACATAGCATTTTCGCTATACAATACGGGTTTGCAGACATTTATAATAAATGCATTTCCCTGACGATCGCTTATCCTAAAATAATTGAAAATAAAAGTAATTAAAATCGCATATACAAATACATTTAAACTTTTTTAGAAATACCTATAATTACTATCACTAAGTGGCATCAGATTAAACATATGACCAGTTTTGGGATCTCGTACACTACAGTCATTGCCCTTAACATTTTCTGGTTCGGGTAAACAGGCCAAGGGTGTTTCGAATGTTATGTAAAAGGAGCAGGCATTGGATGACTAAAAAAGAAACTTGTTTAATAGAACATCCTAAGTTACTTTTTTATTTTTGTCTTACATATGATGTAACACGTGACTGATCCTTATCCAATGTATAATCACATCCCAAGTACACATGCAATTTATAATTATCCGATGAATTGGGACATTTTTCACCATTCGAAAATGTAAAGTACATTTTACCATTGTGATATTCCAATAGATGATGGGTGCCTAGTTAAAAAAATATAACGAATTAGTTAAATGTTGATCATATATATAAAATAAACTACCTACCCAAGACGTACTCCTTTTTATCGGCCTTCTTTAAACATGCCGCAACATCTGTACGTCCATTACAGGTTCTCGTTAAATTTCCACAAATATTAAATTCAAAGGTATCGCCATATTCACCGCGAGTCCAATGGGCAAAATCTGTTTGCAAATTCGTAAAATTGAATAGATGACCATAGACAGGTTCGGTGAGGAAACACTCATTTGTTGAAAATGTCTGAAAATAATTACAAAAAAAAAGTATTAATAAAAATTTTTGAATCAAACAACGATGATAATGATATAGTTAAAGATTATTGCAATTGTTGTTTTTTTAGACGAGCTGAAGGGAGTTTTTATAGACGAGCCGAAGGCAGTCGTTATGGACGAAGTGAAGGAAGAGAGACTATTTAGACAAGCTGATGGGAGTCTTTATAGACGAGTTGAAGGGAGTCTTTATAGGCGAGCTGAGGGGAGTCTTTATAGGCGAGCTGATGGGAGTCATTATGGACGAGCTGAAAGGAGTATTTATAGACGAGCTGAAAGGAGTATTTATAGACGAGCGAAGGGGTTCTTTATAGACGAGATGAAGGGAGTCTTTATAGACGAGCTGAAGGAAGCCTTTATAGACGAGCTAAAGGGAGTTTTCTATAGACGAGCTGAAGGGAGTCTTCTATAGACGAGCTGAAGGTAGTCTTCTATAGACGAGCTGAAGGGAGTCTTTGTAGACGAGCTGAAGGGAGTCTTTATAGACGAGCTGAAGGGAGTCTTTATAGACGAGCTGAAGGGAGTCTTTATAGACGAGCTGAAGGAAGATTTCTATAGACGAGCTGAAGGGAGTCTTCTATGAAGGGAGTCTTTTTAGACAAGCTGAAAGGAGTCTTTTTAGACGAACTGAATGGAGTCTTCTTAGACAAGCTGAAAGGAGTCATTTTAGACGAGATGAAGCGAGTTTTTATAGACGAGCCGAAGGCAGTCTTTATGGACGAAGTGAAGAGAGACTATTTAGACAAGCTGATGGGAGTCTTTATAGACGAGATGAAGGGAGTCTTTAAAGGCGAGCTGAGGAGAGTCTTTATAGGTGAACTAAAGGGAGTCTTTACAGTCGAGCTGAAAGGAGTATTTATAGACGAGCGAAAGGAGTCTTTTTAGACGAGCTGAAGGGAGTCTTTATAGACGAGCTGAAAGGAGTATTTATAGACGAGCTGAAAGGAGTATTTATAGACGAGCGAAAGGGGTCTTTATAGACGAGCTGAAGGGAGTCTTTAAAGGCGAGTCTTTATGGACGAGCTGAAGGGAGTATTTATAGACGAGCGAAGGGGGTCTTTATAGACGAGCTGAAGGGAGTCTTTATAGACGAGCTGAAGGGAGTCTTTATAGACGAACTGAAGGGAGTTTTTATAGACAAGCCGAAGGCAGTCTTTATGGACGAAGTGAAGAGAGACTATTTAGACAAGCTGATGGGATTCTTTACAGACGAGCTGAAGGGAATCTTTATAGGCGAGCTGAGGGGAGTCTTTATAGGTGAGCTGAAGGGAGTCTTTACAGACGAGCTGAAAAGAGTATTTATAGACGAGCGAAGGGGGTCTTTATGTGAAGAGAGACTATTTAGACAAGCTGATGGGATTCTTTATGACGAGCTTCTTTATAGGCAGACTTTATAAGTGAGCTGAAGGGAATCTTATTTATAGACGAGCTGAGCTGAGTCATTATGGACGAGGAGTCTTTATAGACGAGCTGAAGGGAGTCTTTATAGACGAGCTGAAGGGAGTCTCTATAGACGAGCGGAAGGGAGTCTCTATAGACGAGCGGAAGGGAGTCTTTATAGACGAGTTGAAGGGAGTCTTTATAGACGAGTTGAAGGGAGTCTTTATAGACGAGTTGAAGGGAGTCTTTATAGACGAGTTGAAGGGAGTCTTTATAGACGAGTTGAATGGAGTCTTTATAGACGAGTTGAATGGAGTCTTTATAGACGAGTTGAAGGTAGTCTTTATAGAGGAGTTGAAGGGAGTCTTTATAGACGAGCTGAAGGGAGTTTTCTATAGACGAGCTGAAGGGAGTTTTCTATAGACGAGCTGAAGGGAGTCTTTTTAGACAAGCTGAAAGGAGTCTTTTTAGACGAGCTGAAGGTAGTTTTTATAGGCGAGCTGAGGGGAGTCTTTATAGGTGAGCTGAAAGGAGACTTTACAGACGAGCTGAAAAGAGTATTTATAGACGAGCGAAGGGGGTCTTTTTAGACAAGCTGAAAGGAGTCTTTTTAGACGAGCTGAAGGGAGTTTTTATAGAGTCTTATGGACAGGGCTGAAAAGAGTTTTATAGAAGCTGAAAGGAGTCTTTTTAGACGAGCTGAAGGGAGTCTTTACAGACGAGCTGAAAAGAGTATTTATAGAAGAGCAAAGGGGGTCTTTATAGACGAGCTAAAGGGAATCTTTATATCAAAAAAAAATTGGTACTACACACACACAAATAACCAAACAACCAAATTTATTTGTCCACGAACATTTTGACTCACACTCTTTTTCTTCAACAAGAGGTACAACTCCCAAACAAAATAAAAGAGTGGAGAGTATACTCCCTAAAAAACTCGCTGATAGGAGTCTTTATAGACAATATTGAATCTTTGTTGGGGATGTACCAGAAGGAGAGGGCCGACGGGCCCTCTTGATTCAAATCGGACATTCCATTCGACTGATATTTGATTTATAGATATTGAATATTTAGATTTGTGCGGGAGGTACCAGAAGAAGCGGACCAATGGGTCCCATCTTCGGACAAGATCTAGGCTTGGTGGGGTTAACAGGTAGTGCAAAGTTTGGTTCAAATTGTACATTCCATTCGACTTATATTGGATTTATAAATATTGGACATTTTAACGCTTTGGACTTGATCTAGGCTTGGTAAAGATAATAGGTTGTGCAAGGTTTGGTTCATGTCAAACATTACATTCGCCTGAAATAAAACCTTGTGTGGGCTGCCCTATCCTCACAGATTTATGCTTTCTGTGAAAGACTTACAACGAATCGGGTTCTGCCACCTATAAAAGCCTTTCCACCTTTCTTCGTTTAATTCAACCCTTAAAATCAAGGGTCTTCTGAAGTCTCTTCTGTTTGTTGACACCCTTCCAAATTTATGCTATCAAGTTAATTATTTTCTCAGATTGTGATGTTCTCTGTCCCAAGAATTATCTCAATTTCTTCAAAAAAATTTTTCTATAGAATACCAGCATCACCACTTCATAGAAGACCACCAAAGAGTTTTCTCTCTACAAAATAGATTCCACCGTCGCCTCCCAAGGAACTTTTCTCTACAAAAGATTTTACAACGGTTTTCTATCTATAGGTTAGGTTTGGACCTGAGACCGTCAGGTCCATTGTGATCATCCACGAAAAGAAAAGAGATAAGACGAGAGATAAGGATATATATATAGGGGAGAGAAGGGATACAGAGAGATGAGAAGCTTACAAGAAAATGTAAGAAGGTAAGTTTGAAATAGTATCGATGGCTATAGAGATCGGACAAAAGATATATTACGTGTAAAGGTAGCACTTTCCCAACCACTTTAGGTTTCCAATTATGCTGTAGATTAGAGCAGTTTCCGTTGTTGAGAAGACTCTAAGACTCGGTGGAAAATGAGCAACCACTAGGCTGTGCCGCCTGTAAGCCAGGACTGGACAGTGACACAAGAGATGCTCAATTGTCTCCGTCTCCTCCTCGTCAACGCAGTGTCTACAATAATCAGTAACATCATGATCCCATTTACTAGTAAAGGCCTGATATTGCAATGACAAGTAATGATTCCTGTCATTACACTTATTTCAGCTTTGCTCAGGTTCAACAGTGAGTGTCTTTTTGATAGATAGTGTCAGCCAAATAGATCTTGACACATTGCACCTAGGTTCGTTGTGACAAAGTTCATAGGCTCTTTCGTCGAAGAACGCCTCAAAGTCCGATAAAGATGACATATGGGTGGTTTGATTGAGTCATCCATTGCTAGATCTGTGGATTGAGATCCTTGTCTAGCTAATTCGTCTACTCTTTCATTAATTACACCAAGATGTCACAGTGTCCTGTGCAAAATTAATATAAATGGAGTAGAACCCATAAATTTAAAGAAGGCCATAAAATGGTCTGATTTATTGAAGGCTCCCTCAAAAGGTCCTCAGTGACCTTGTGGCTTCTTGTATGTTTCCATTATCCTGCCCACTATTTCCCGGTCCGTGCTCAGAAAACCGTATAGGTATGTGCAAAAATAAATTTAGTATCATCGTAGGATTCGTCTAAAATATTTTCCAAAAATACATCTCATTATGCCAAATATTACAATTCCAGGCTGGCAGCCACTTGAGACATTCCAATTAGATTTTACGATGTTATAAAAAACGCTAAAATAACATTACTAAAATTGTAAAGAGGAATTTCACTCTCTTCTACATTCATTACGAATATTTACTCTCAGTATAAGAGTTAAAGCGAAAAGTCAAAAACATATGACTAGCTCAAAACAAAAACAAACCACAATATTAGCGGTAAAAATAGACTCCACAAAACAAAAAAAACACTGGCAAAATAAAAGCCTGAATGGACAGGATGCATCATGAATTTCTTTATAGGAAAACTACAAAATTTTTAAAATATTTAATAAAATGTAATTAAAAACTTCTCAAATGAAATGTGTCATCATAAAAAATTTTCCACCCCCTTTTGCGAAAACAGAATAACAACCAAGTGTAAAAAGGTTAAGAAAACATGGAAACGAATTGGATTCTTGAATTTGTTTACTTTCTCCTGCAAATTGTAAATAATTGTTTTTCTTTCTTTACTTACCAAAGGATCTGCTTGTTTGGTGTCATCACTGGCTGCGTAATTGACCTTGAATTGTAGGCAACCAAAGAGGAAGAATAGAAGGCACCAGATTGGCGACATACGAATAGGCATCATCATCATATTGTTTTGTTTTTTGCTGTTGTTGTTGTTCCAGCTTATTTCCAAAACAACAACAAACCACCGCTAAACTTCGTAATATGTACGTTTACTTGTTAGAACGAACTTCAGTTCACTTTGCTTTGTGTTAACTCCACTTGCATGTGCGGAGAGAGGGAGGTTTAAATGGATAGACGGGGTTGTTTGTTGCGACGTTTTTGTTTGTTAACAATTCTTTTCTTTTTTTCTTTAACACTTCACTTTATTGACTTTTAACTAAACGATTGTTATTTTATTCTACGATTACGAATTTGAGGTGTATGGGTAAACAATACCTTTGTTATATTGCCGGTAATTTTTTTTTGTTATTAATCACACTACACACACACTCACGTCCCGATATCTCATAAAATGCGATATTTTTTGTTGTTGTTAAGCTTCTATTTTACACTTTCCGATTATCAATATCATTTATTTTTTTGGCGTATATTAAATTTGTTTGACCACAAAACACTAACAACAAATTATGGTAAATGCAGTAACATAAATTGGGAGACGCATCCAACTGCAATCCGCGCAATTGGAAACTCACGAACATACTGAACTGAATTGACTCAGGTGTTTATGTTATCTTATACGCAAAGCATTATACGCGTTGCAGCTTTGTAGCGACGGCAAGGGTGGCTAAGTGTAAAATGAGTTTTTATGAAAATAAATTCATGGATTTTTAAATATATATTTGTATTTTGTATGTTTATATATATTTTAATAATTTGTAATAATTGTTTATGCTGATCTTTTAATTTTTTTATCAATGAGCTCTGAAAAGCTTTATCGCTTCTAATGTAACTGGAAACTGGCAAGGCCAAAAGGGTTTGTTTACATTCGGTGATGTCAATTTAGCGGTTTTTCTTGAGAATGTGTTAAAATGTTGACAGGAGAAAATGGTTCAAAGCGTTGGCATAATTTGTCGGAGACCTCATAAAGTTGATTAGATCAGGATTGCTTAAATCCGGATAGATCTTCAAGATGTTACATAATGGTAACGGAAAATATAGGTACAGGTCTTGGTATACCCAGCAAATAAATATTAAATGTACATATATATTTTAAAATAAATAAAATTTCAAAAACCTCTCATGGCGGAGTGTCTCGCCGTTGCTATGTCAATTTTATTTTAACGGTGCTATTGATTGCCAATAAGTTCCCGTCCACCATTTCGGAGCTTATACAGTTGATTCATACACGAATTTCATTGGCATTATACCCTGGTTGTATAATACTATGGTGAATCACGTATTGCTCTAAAGCTGTAAAACAGACATATTTTTATACAGGCGATTCCGAGATGAAAGAAGGCACTGGAACTGGCGTCTAGTGAAAAGTATTGGGTATACATACAGGTTAGTTAAGGACTTTAGAGTATTTCAGGCTGAAATCTTAGCGATCTTAAAGACATCGGAGTCTGAATTCTGAGATGCTTGAGTCGATTGTTGTTGTAGCAACTGTCTACATTTTTGTTGTATTTTCCGCAATATTGCAATATGTAACGGCTACGTCCAAAGAGATTCCGGACACAGATGAGTGGGTTTAGCAGAGCAGTTAAAAAGATGCAGCGTATCGTGAGGTCCAAGTCCACACGCAGGGCATGTGTTTGGTGCCGCGGTGTCAATTCGGCCTCAATACGAATTGAGGCGGCTGCACCATCCTGATCTTAATTGGGCTAAAACCAATCTCGCAGCTGGCGTTCTTCTGCTGCTATAGGTGGTGGGTGGATTCCAAGTACTGCATTCACATGGTATTGGTCCATTACCTGGGTCACTGCTTCCGTTTGAATGCTTCTAATTCCTGCTCGATAAGCCTGTTGATCTAGGGGTTCTCTTTTGAACCGTTGGACCTCTCCCTCTCTAGATCATGTAGGTCTCTACTTACATGCCTGGGTGGGGGAATTCTATCCACAAGCTGATGGCATGGATGACAACATCCAGTTCTGACGATGTGCGGGTAAGACCATTGCCTCCTCATATGTAAATGGTCACTGGCGTCGTAAGGAGGCACCTGTCGCAGTTCTCAGGGCGGCATTCTGACAGGTTTGAATGTTCTTCCTCTACGTATCGCTTACTTTCACGAACCACACTGGCGCCGCATAGCTTACTACCCATTGACCTTTTGCTTTTTAGGAGGTCAACAAGGTCACTTTATCAGAATCCCAAGAGCTGCCGGTAAGCGACTTGAGGACCTTGTTCCTGATTCTCATCTTATCGCAAATAGCGCACTATTAGGCTTCTTATTTCCAGTTTATGAATTTGTCCTTATAAATGGTTTTCCAGACAATGGTCACCTTCGTCCTTTAGAAAAGTGGTTTCCAGATGGCTGGCAAATATCAACCAATGACTCGCACCATCCACCAGGATCGGTCTTGCCGATGATGGTTAGTCGTTGATTATCTGGAACCATTTGTCGAGTTGCTGTTTCATTACGATTTGCTGACTTTTCACCTGATCGGACCTTGGTCTTTTCAATGTTAATCTTCCCAACTATGGTTTCCCTGCAGCAGGTTGCTCTTCTTCCGTGGCCCTCATCCTTCTTCAATGCCAAAGGGCTTTGATTAGGTTTTGGCTTCGGTCGGAACAGATTCGAATGAACATGCGTTGGTTGCTACAAGCTCATTGCCTCACTTTTATGACATTGACTACACTTTTAACAGCTGACTGCATCATTTCGTGATAAATACTTTAGCGTTTTCTTATCACCTAGTTCTGCGGTTCATTTGTGAAACGTTCAATTGAATTCATTCGTGAACTACACAACGCTACAGTTCAATTTCTTCTTAGATTTAAGATTTTGCCGAGTATTATTTAAATTGCTACCTATTTATATTGGATTTTTAGATGTAATGTCATCTACAACGGAAATTGAAACGCTTCTAAAGAAGGCTGTCACCCTTCTACAATCTTCACATGGCAGTTCGGCAGCAGAGTTACGATTATTACTTGACGAGGAGATCAAAAAACGTTATGGAGCGGACAAGACCCTAACAAATAACATGAGTAAAAAACAACTGGAAGATGAGGCTAACTTCCCCGGCCGAGCAGTAACACCACCCCCACAACCTGTTGAAGCGGAGGAAGTTATTAATCTTGTTAATTCACCGGCCAAAACAATATCCGATTCTCCGGATACTATTGCCGATTCAGATGATGCAGTTAGCGGTGTAGGTGCCGGTGGTGGTGGTATGCTTTCAACCACGGCGGAGGATGAGGCCAATCTAAAAGAATTTGGTGATTTAAATTGTTGTGTCTGTGGCGAAATGATGTTCACGGCCACAAATCGTCTAATTGAATGTTCACGTTGCGGAGCCCTTTACCACCAGGAATGCCACAAACCTCCCATAACAGACGAAGAAGCATCTGAAGATCAAGGCCACAATTGGGTTTGTGATAATTGTGCAACTAAACCCACCTCCAGTAAAACTAGCAGCCAAGTGGTTGTTATACCCGATGAACCTATGCCGCTAATTGCAACCTCCGTGGCATCGATTAAATCCAAATCATCAGCAACATCTTCACGCTCCTCGTCATCTTCGAATTCCTCTTCTCCATTTTATAAAATGGAACAAGCCACCGCTACTGCTACGGGAAAAAGTTCTTCAAAAAGTCACAGCAAAGAAGAGCGATCTTCTGCTGTGCCTAGCAATTGTAAAGTATCATCGTCATCACTCAATGCCCCCAGTTCATCGTCTTCTTCATCATCGTCCAAAAAACATTCCTCCTCATCATCGTCATCATCCAGTAAAAATAAATCATCGTCTTCGAAGCATCATCATGAGAGTAAACGGAAATCGAGTAAATAAATTAAATGATTGTAAGGAATTGGAAGAAATATTTTGGTGAAAGCATTTTGTATGTGAAACATATACCATTTGACTGGCATTTTTGATAGAATTAAGGAATACAATTGCCACCAAGTTGTTTTTTTTTTATAAAATATTTTGGAATAAAATATTTATTTATATATGTGTGTATTGAAAATATGCGATTTATAATTACAGTCGACACCATTTACAAGACCAATGGGTTACAAAGACTCATTCAAAAGTCCCAATGGAAAAATTCTGCCCCTTATTAGATATCTTTTATAACGGCATATTGCCTATAAATTAACCTCTTCTGGTACCTCTTTACAGATGGTGAACTATTTGATAAAAACATATACGTTATATAAATCGAATAATAACAAGTGAAAAAGCGTTAAGTTCGGTCAAGCCGAACTTTGGATATCCTCCACCATAGGTATACTGACAGATACTTGAAATGAAAATATTAATGGCCGACATGTCAATTTCGAACCCAATGTTTTTGTTTTGTGTCTCAATTCTTTCCTTAAGAAGGTATAATTATATGGGGGAGATGCCTAAATGCTGGCCGATATGGGAACTACCCCTAAAAGGGGGGCGAACATTTATAATTTTTGGTAGGAAGATTTGTTACCACATGCGACTACAAAATACCATATTACAGCGAATTCGGGTGAAAAACGCGCTCAAGAACCCCAAAATACCAAAAATTGAGGGTGTCTTATATTTTTAGTGTAGAAATTCGGTACCGTAAATGGGGGGGGGGGGGTACCGTTATATGGGGGCTACCCGAAAAAATGGACCTATATTTATAATTTTTAGTGGAGAAATTTAAGAACCCATTGTACCAAATTTCAGCGAATTCGAAAAAATATCGAAAATTGGGTGGTACCTTTATATGGGGGCTATCCCTAAACGTGGACAGATATAGCCCATCTTCGAACTTAACCTGCCTGCAGACAACAGACCCTATCTATCCCAATTCCTTCAGAATATGGCGTGATTACAACAGACGGACATGGCTAGATCGTCTGAGAATTTTACCCTGATCAGGAATATATACATATATATACTTTTTAGTGTCGGAAATAAATATTTCGATGAGTAACAAACGGAATGGCAAAATTAATATACCCTCCATACTATGGTGGAGAGTATAAAACTAGTGTGTGGTAATTCCATAGACATACGAAAACCACAGGCCGGGGTATACATATGTCGGCAGCACCTACTGACACTTGTTTAATTGCTTTAAATTTTTCTGAGTCTTTGATCTATTTTGAAGATGGGCTCTATTCGTTCTTCCAGTGGAAATGGTAGCAGGTATAGAATATTTTATTTATCTTTTGGTGCATCGAACTTACACTCCATTTCTAACCCCATTCAAAACTCCTGTGCCAATCCGAGTTTTTCGAACGGGTAGGCATAGGAGTATTAAAGGATTATGTTTGACAAAATTTCTCACAGATGTTCTTGATATAGGGTAAGTGCACCAATAGTCGGCACTTTAAGAATTTTCGCTTTTTAAACGTTTCACCATTCCAAGTGCATCTTTTCCACGGCATTGTATTTAGGTTCATCTGTTTCGAAATTTTGTTTACTCCCCGATGGAATACAAATTTGTTTAATTAACTTGTATTAAAGTAGATATTAATAATTATGTAAAATAGTGCCTATGTGCCAATAGTCGGCACATTTTTCTAATTGTCGGCATGTTATGTTCCAATAGTCGGCATGTCACATTTTAGTTAAACAAAAATTATATATTTAATTGATTTTTCTGCTATTTTAAAAAATAAATTATTACTTTGGGACGTTTCCATCAGTGTTGTATTGAAAAAGTTATATAAAATAATATTATTTATTAAAATATTACAATTTTAAAACATGGTGCCGACATTGGGAACCTGTTATCCAATTCTCGGCATGGCTAAATAAGGCATTTCAGAGGTTAAAAGTATTTGAGATTAAAATCGTGTCTTCTATTATAGAAAACACTCAAAACTAGTTTTTTATAAGATAATCGTTATTTAGAGGACTTATTTAACATTTTTTCCCATTTTGAGCCAAACTGATTGAAAAGGTGCTTATTATTCACCCATATGCCGACTAAAGAAAAACCTTAAAATTTTTTGTTCCTAAGGTCGGCATTGATAAAAATATTATTATTAAAAATATTTTTTTAATGATTTTAAATTCTAAAGTATTCTCCTCTATGTTCTTTACAATTATGAAGAAGATCCTTGTGAAAAAATATAATTTTAATATAGTTACAAGTCTTTTGAAATCGTCATGCACACTACTTTTTTCTTAAGAAACATGAATTATCGCTAGTGTTGACAAACCTCATTGACAAAATGCAAATTTTTGACTGAATAAATGAAATTAGCTCGATTAAATTTTATACAGAGGTAGATTGCAGTGTCATTGAAGATTATTCAAGGTATTTTTCATATATAGTTATAGGATTTTTTAAGTTATTTGAAGTTATATAAAACAGATGCCGACTATTGGTACATGCCGGAATTAGGTGCGTTTACCCTATATCCTTACCGTTCAACGGAAAAACAAATCATATCTTATAAAATCAGCATATATCTCCAAAAGAAATTTTGAAGAATATCATTTTTTTTATTTTAAACATATGATGAACGTATACAACAAATACAAAAGAAAAAAATGCCATAAAAAGTAAAATAATGTTTGTGTTCCGAACAGTATATCAAGTTATAGATTGTGATTCCAAAAAACTAACAAAGTAGATATAAGATATAACAAATCTTCAATATAAAACAAAGGCGGATTTTTCCCCAGCAAGAGTGAACAAAGTAAAGAAAATGCTTCGATAAATGTAAGAAAGTAAAAAAATATTACAATTATTTCGAAAAGTGAATTTTGGAATGTTATACAAGAAATGCGCCTTGATAATACTCCGCATCATTTACGATGGTGATCGATGTACTCTACGTGACTTCTTAACCGTGACAGCCGGTGTCCGAGGACTCTCATCCCCTCCGCCGACTTTACGTACATTAACTCTAGTCACTGGTGTTGAACTGCTGTTCGTCTTAGCCAATGGTGTTGATTTACTACTCGATGAGGTAGATAGTGATGGGGCATTTTCCTCGGTGGCCGGTTGCAGTGGCTTCTTTTTACGTTTCACATTAACAATGACATTGGCATCCATACTGACATCTAATTCAAAATTAAATTCATATGTTTTTGTTGGTTTTTTATTTGGTGTTAGTCTATCGTTAATTATGGTTTTACCCGATCTCGATGAGGACATAGTTATGGCTGGTGACATACGAATACTAGTTTTGGCATTCATGGGAGTACTTCTTAGGCGGGGTGAAGACGTCGATGATGTGTTGTGACCTGAGGGCGATGATCTTTTCAATGGTGAACGGCGACTACGAGTTTTTGCCGAGTTATTTATGGAACCATTTAGTTTTGTCCGCTTTGTGGGTGAGGGTGATGAAGTGGGTGATGTTGAAACATCTAAAGATTTTCTTTTCAGTGATGAATTTAAGGGTGACCTTTTTAGAATTTCTTTTGGTGTCGATTTGGGATTTCGTTTTGGTGTAATCTTGGGTGTTAATTTATCTTTTGTTGTTTTTAATGCATTGGCTTTTGGTTCCTTCTTTATGGGTCTCTTGGCATCGAAAATAACATCGCCATCATCATCGTCACTAGCATCAATAACTTCATCTTCAGAATCATCCATTTCCACCACAGCTGGTTTTTTACCCTTAGTCTTTACTCCACTGGCCTTGGCTTTACTTGTTGAGGCCACCTCCGCATTACTTCCACCAGATTTCAATTTAAAATCTAAATCACCAGTATTGGCAATTTTCAATGCCTTTAATGCATTTTGGAAAATTTTACGACATTTTTCATAATCCGGTGTGGTATTGTATTCCATTTTAGATATATACTTCATATAATCCATTATAGCATCCGGCACAGCCGACGGAAATATTTTTTTGAGATTCTCTGAAATATTGGACATAAATTCCTCTTTGGATTTTTGTACCTTTGTGGGGTTTGCCAATAACTTATCCCTAACCCATGGCAATTCCACCCCCAACCATTCAATTAAATTATAACCCAGAATTTCCATATCGGTTCTCATTGTGGGTACACCCAAGTGAGCATCTCGGGATGTGTATTCAATTGTGCCATTATGCATTTTCTTTGGATCGGGTTTGAAGTCCTTGGTGGTGAAACGTGAAGCCAAACCAAAGTCCACTAAATAGGCTTGGTGTTGTTGTTTTGGTCCATAGCCCAACAAGATGTTGGCGGCTTTTAAATCGGCATGAACATAACCGGCACCATGTATAAATTCATAAACATCCAACATTTGTAGAGCCAAACGATAGCAAGTGCCCTCCGGCAGTCGACGGCCATTGTTAAGGAAATGTTTAGCCACATCCGAACCATAACGAGGCATAACAATGAAGCGATGTTTAAGGCCATTTATTTCTGCCGAACCATTCCCCACCATATAGGGCATACCAAAACTTTTGAGACCATGTTCCTTCTGAAATCTGCGTACATCGTCCAATTTGGCATTGCGCATATAGAAATGCATTTCTACAAATAAGGGTCCATTGTCATGGGGTTCCTGAAATGAATGATCGTGAATTCACATAAAAAGAAATTCGAAGAAAAAACTACAAAAAAGTCATATCCTTACACATTTCACCACATATTCGTATTTATTTTCTCCTGGCTTACAGGCCGAATATATTTCACCAAATCCGCCGGTACCAATTGAGGGTCCTATTTTCCATTCACCCTTCATCATATCGGTTAAAATTGTACCCTCTTTTATTTTTTCCGGCATATTGTACAATTTCGATTTCTTGGCTCCTGCAGCGGCTTTTTTGGCGCCTCCAGCTGCTGCAGCAGCCTTTTTTGTTGCAACTTTCGGCATTATCGGATATTCTTAAAACACTTATATATTTTTTGAAAACACTTTTCTCCGTTTCCGTTCCTTAGAAGTTTAAGTCCCTGTGATGAAATACGAAATGCAATGCGGCGCTTCGTTATGGAGTTTTGTTTTTTGTTTGCAAAAAAATCGACGCTTGCCGTTTTTTGCTGTTCGCATTTAAACTTGTTTTGACATGTTTCTCTTCTGTTGCTATTTCGTGTGGAATTGTTTTGGCATTCGTTAAGTTCTTGGAAATTTGGCAGCACTTTAACAATGATAGAAGGTAGGGATGCCAATGTTTATATTAACTATTTGTTATTTTATTCGAATCGGTTAAATTGTAGTAATGTTATTTTGCATAATTTCTTAACTCATTTTTATGACTATTTATGCATTGTTATGGCTATTGCATTAGTTATAATTTCAATCTATAAGTGCTGACACAAATTTAACGAACAATTTAACCACTGTATATACTAATCGATAAATTCGATTGCAGACAATCACATATGTTTGATAACAAAAATGCAGTAGCGTTTTGTGCAAGGCATGAGGCAATAATAAGGTGATGTATCACAACAAAAACCTTTGTTTTTGTCTCGATTATCTTTCATGCGGTGTTTGATAGTGTGGCCTCACATGTTTGTCATTCATCAGGCAACCACAAAAATATTTATGGTTGTTGGACAGTCAGTAATCGATAAAAAAGTTGACAGTCAAAAATGATAGTGTGTACACCGCTTCAAATTTCGAACATTTGCACATCGAACATATGAGAAATTAGTACAAATATAATTCAACAATTACATAGGAAATCGTTATTATTTGTCTGTTCCCATACTGCAAAAATCTACTACTTTTTACTAAGAAAACAAAATTTCCTTTATGATATCGAAAAAAAATTTAAAAATTTTAAATTCTTGCAGTACGTGAATAAATCCTGTATGTAACACTAGTGTCAGTTTGATATGACGAAGAATCTACTAGTTTTTACTACGATAACCAATTTTTTCTTTATTATATCAAAAAAACAGCTTTTTTTATCGATTATGCCATGTACAGACGAGCGTTGTTCGCTCTCTCATTCGTTGTTCGACCCTTAATTATGAAGTAATTACTTAGTTCCCCATACAAAATTGTCTGAGCGAACACCGACTTTTGTACGTTGTTCAATTCGAATCACTCTCTGAATAACCAATAAATTTGTCCCATCCCTAACAATTGAGAGTATTTATCGAAAATAAATTAATTTTGACAGTTTGAAAATATTTATGAAATTTTCAAACTTTTTCAGTAAAATTGAAAATCATGAATGAAAAGTAAACAATTGTAGAGTTTTTATATATGCAGCAGGATGTAAATTTTGTTTTCTATATAATGCAATATGCATTTCTTTTCCCTTGGTTCTAATTAGCGTACAAAACAAATAACAAATGTGGGGCAACTCAAACAAAAAATTCTCCAAATTTGTATATGTGACATTTGAATTGAGAAAATATAAAAATGTATTAAAAACAACAACATTTTCAGAAAAAATGGAAAACATGAATGAAAAGTAAATAGATATGGATTCATACTATATTCATGAGAAAGAGAATTATTTTTTCTATTTAGATCCCTATGTAATTCACTAAAATATGTTATATTTTTGGTGTAAAACAAGAAACAAAAAGTTTGAAATTAAAAACTCTGATGACATGAATTATGAATAGTGTTGTATGAACGGGTTAATTCATGTACGTAATTCTGAGAGCGAACTACGTTGTTCGGATGACCGTCAGAGCATGGCATTACTGACTGTCCAACAACCATGAATGTTATCGTGGTTGCCCATGGTATAATAATAAAAGGTAACAGCAAGTGTTGTTGTACAACAAACGATACAACAACCACATGGACATTTGTTGTTGTAAGTTCTACTAGTGTCAACTCTTTTGACAGAAAAATGTAAACAAACAAATTACCATTAAATTATTTTTATTTTGAAAATGAAATATTTTTGAATCCTCAAAATAAAAATTGAAAAACATGAATGAAAATATATCAAATTTATATTTCTATCGCTTCCACATCTTTACTATAATTGAGCCATTGCCATATATAGGTGTAACACATATGCCAATGCTGGGAATAGCGAGTTGTTCCTTGAAGAAAGATTTGCTTCCTCAAACGATCCCAGCAGGCAGATTGAGTAAATTGAATACGGGAGGACATTTAATAAAGAACAATTTCGAATTGAATAAGTTCCCAATTTTCCTGTTGGGTGATTTTTAAAAACATAATTTGTCAAATGCATATTGACACTAGTATTACGTTGGAATCAAATCAGCTGGGATTTGCTGTTACCTTTTTTAATTGTACCATGGTGGTTGCCTGATAAATAACGAACATAAAGCGGTCTACACACTAGCACTTTTGAGTGCCACTCTTGCCCAAATTTTGCTTGTTTGATAGTGTGGCCTCTAATGTTTGACATTAACAAAAATATTCATGGTTGTTGGACAGTCAGTAATCGATAAAAAAAGCTGTCACTCAAAAGTGCTAGTGTGTACACCGCTTAAGTCATCATTCCCTTTGTATATATGACAAATAAATGACAATTTCCATTAATAAAAATGCCCAGTGTAAATGTTCGCATACAATATATTAATACAACAAATCATAAATATGTTTATTTTCATTTAAAATGCATGTTTTAATTCTTTTATTTGACAAATCTTATATTCAGTTGACATGTTCGATAATCAGTATACCCATCTATGTCGATTAATCGATTAGTCAAAAGTCGATTTAGTAATTCCTAATAGCGTCTCATCTCATTCGTAAAAAGAAATTCGTGTCGTTCGGAGGTTTTGTGCCCTAAAAGAAAATAACTCGCAAGACTTGTGAAAAAATAGAAGAAATATCTACATATATTCATTCCAGTTTAAATCTATATAAATAAACAAAAAAGCAAATATCAAAAATGGTAATTTCCTAATCTACAAAACGTAAAAAAACAACGTAGCATCAAAACGCAAAGAATACATACGTGCATCGAAGACAAATAGAAGATATCACGGTGTGTCAATGGACGGACAATTGTGCTTGTGTTGAAGGTGGACTAAAAAAATTGTGGTGGTTGGTTGATGATGGGAGTTTTGAGAGCGTGCGTGCGTGGAAGTATGGATCGGAATGAAGTGATTTTTACGAAAACGAAACAAAATATAGCAATTATTGCTGTAAAACATGCCAAAAATAATGTTTTGTATACCTTAAATGATGAAATTTGTGACAAATGCCGAATGTTATTCGTTTTTAACCTCACTTTTTTTTGTAGAAGTGTTCGTCGTTTGACTATAAATACAATGATTTGTATTTGGTATTTTCTGCGTTTGCCTGCTACGTTGTTTTCTTTTCAAAATTTGAAAATGTGATGTGTTTATTGTCGTATTAATAATAATTTTGTTTGTTATTGTTTAAAGGCTGGAGGTAAAGCTGGTAAAGATTCAGGAAAAGCAAAAGCCAAAGCTGTTTCACGTTCGGCCCGCGCTGGTTTACAGGTAAGAAGAAAAGTCGCGCGCGTTGTAATAACAAAATGCGAGGCAAACAAATCAAAAACATTTTCCCGCCATTTTACTTTGTGCCAGTGTGCGTGTGTGTATGGGGGTTTGGTTAAATGTTTTGATAAGTTTCCCTGCATTTTTTTATTTTGTAATTTTTAAATAGTTTTGAATATTAAAATAATGTTTTTTTCTTTTTAGTTCCCTGTTGGTCGTATCCATCGTCATCTGAAGAGTCGTACAACATCGCATGGACGCGTGGGTGCCACCGCCGCTGTTTATTCTGCTGCCATTCTGGAATATTTAACAGCAGAAGTAAGTAGTTGAACACATAAGAAATAGAATCAAACATTAGTACAGCCCTCCATGTTGTAAGCCACTTCATGTGAAACACAACATGGAAAAATGCTATGCTCTTTGGCTGGCGACTGCTTAGAATCAAATACAGTTTTCCTAGTTTTTCTTTTGGCCGCTGCTGTTGTTGTATATTGTGTATGATGCCTTTACGCGCCAAATGATTTAGTTGTTGTGTGTACGTCGTTTCCTATCTTTTTTCTCTTTTCCTCCTTTTGACACAACAATCCGTTGATGGGCGCAACACAGCAGCATAATTATCACATTGACGACGACGACGAAGAAGAGTGTGTTTTGTAATGACTATTTTTGTTGTTTTTGTAGTTGTGTATATGTATATATGCTGTACACTGCTGTTTTATGTTTTCTTAGGTTTTGTGTCGGGGTTTGGCCTGACTGCTGCCTGCTTAACTGACAGATGGTGGTCCCTTGTTTTGTTCTTTCGTTCGTTATGTTTTGTGGCGTCATTTGCCCGCCATTTTTGTATAAATTTTTTGTGTGTGCGTACTTTTTTATACGAGCATAGAGTTGCCAACTTTATTGCGTATGATATTTAGGGGAATTTCAATGTTCGAGGATTTTCAAAATATTTTTAGTCAATAATAATAAAAAAATAGTTTTTTTTTTGTTTATATTAGTTTGTTTCTATTAGAATTTGATTATATAGATAATCGCACTATTATAATTGTACTTGGCTCTTCTAAACCATCTACGCGCTCTTGCCTTTCTTAGCACTAGTCGATGCTGCCAAGAATCTCGTTCTGATTCTCATTAGTTATTAGTTATTCCTGATACCATTCAACATCCCAGTCTTTTTCCTCCAATGGTGATTAATTAAGAAGTCTCTAAAACGCTATTGGGGTAGTTCCTTGTGAACTTTCGAATGAATTGGAGATTCGACAGTCGCCTACCTTCTGTCTTTGTCTAGCTGTTACTGGTACTGGTGATTCATCCATCTTAAGGACGGGAGTCTCAGTATCCGCTTCAACAGCCAACTGCCTGAGTAATCTTGCCGCATCACAACAGGCCATGGAGATTGAGTGCGGGTCCTTAACCTCGCCAGGGTTTACATCCTTAGTCATCAACTGGGAGAACGCACCTTGCTTCGGAGGAGACTTCAGGATCGCAACCGTGTTTGTCACCGTAGTGGTAATCACTGTTGTTGCAATTCGTAGTTTAAATTCGGCTACATAGAATGTGCTGTTGGTGAGGGATTAAGATCAACCATGGCATAGTCTCTTACCATGGCAAGGACTTGGCAGCTAAGCTTGAATAAATTTGTTGAGAGGCCCAGGTATCAACAAGGCTCCATTCTAATAGTCGGGACCCTGACTGCAAACCTTAGAACGCTAATGGGCACGAGGTCGCATGACACTTTGGGGGGTCACTTTGAGAGATAGTGACCCAAAACTTTGAGATGGTTATTTTGG